ACCCTCTATGTGATCTCCATTTCTATGATTCTATTCCTGTTCTAGTTGTTTGCTTAGTTTTTGGGTTTGTTTGTTTTTTTTAGGTTCAGTTGTTGATAGTTGTGAGTTTATTGTCATTTTACTGTTCATAGTTTTGATCTTTTTCTTTTTGTTAGATAAGTCCCTTTAACATTTCATATAATAAGGGCTTGTTGATGATGAACTCCTTTAACTTGACCTTATCTGAGAAGCATTTTATCTGCCCTTCCATTCTAAATGATAGCTTTGCTGGATAGAGATATCATGAATGTAGGTCCCTTGCCATTCACGGCTTTTAAATATTTCTTTCCAGCCCCTTCTTGCCTTTAAGGTTTCTTTTGAGAAATCAGCTGATAGTCTTATGGGCACTCCTTTGTAGGTAACTGTCTCCTTTTTTCTTGCTGTTTTTAAGATTCTCTCCTTATCTTTACTTTTTGGCAATTTAATTATGATGTGTCTTGGTGTAGTTCTTCCTTGGATCCAACTTCTTTGGGACTCTCTGAGCATCCTGAACTTGCATGTCTAGTTCCTTCACCAGATTGGGGAAGTTTTCCTTCATTATTTGTTCAGGTAAGTTTTTGATTTCTTGCTCTTCCTCTTTTCCTTCTGGCACCCCTAGATTGAGATGTTGGAACATTTAAAGTTGTCCGAGAGGTCTCATCATTTCCCAGCCTCTCCTCACTTTTTTGAATTCTTTTGTCTTCATTCTGTTCTGGTTGGGTGCTTTTTTTCCTTCCTTTTTTCCCAAATCATTGATTTGAGTCCTGGATTCCTTCCCTTCACTGTTGGTACCCTGTATGTTTTCTTTTATTTCACTTTGTATAGCCTTTATTTCATCCCTTATTTTCTGACCATACTCAGTTATTTCTGTGACCATCCTGATTACCAGTGTTTTGAACTCTGCATCTGATACATTGGCTATCTCAGTTTTGCCCAGTTCTTTTTCTGGTGTTTTGATCTGTTCTTTCATTTGGGCCAAATTTCTTTGTCTCAGCTCACCTATTATGTTATAAGGGGTGGAGCCTTAGGTATTCACCAGGGTGGGACAAACCACTTCACTGCGTTGTGGTGTTGTATATGGGGAAGGAGTCAGAGAGGGAACAATTCTGCTTGCTCATCTCTCACCCCACTCAAGTGGATATGCCCTTTCAGGTGCTGATTCCCGTGTGGGCAGGCTTGTGCACATTTTAGGATCCCATGGGCCTCTCCAACAGACTCTCCTGTAGGACTGAGAGTTTCTCCTGCCACTGTAACCCCCATAGGTTTTTACAGCCAAAGGTTTTAAAGCTTTATTTCCCCACACTGGAACCCTGGGTTATGCAGTTTGTCTTGCTCCCCAGTTTTTCCTCCCAGCTTATCCCCATACGAATGTGGGACCGCCCGATCCACCAGCCACTTCCTCAGCTGCTGCCTTGTTGCACGTCCTCTCCACCCCGGCTTCCCATCTCCACGCCTCCTACCAATCTGGATGAATGTTTCTTCTTTAACTCCTTTGCTGTTGGACTTCCATGCAGTTTGATTTTCTCGCAGTCCTGGTTTTTTGTTTTTAAATTTGTTGTCATCCTTTGGTTGTGTGAGGAAGTGAAGTGTATCTACCTACACCTCCATCTTGGCCAGCATTTTAATTCCAAGTATTCTTTAAAGTAACAGAATTCTTTTTTCCCCTCAAAGAGAATATTCACAGAACTCCAAACCTTAATCAGTTAAGAGCAGAACTAATCTTTGCTAGAGTTCATCCTTCCCCATACTGAACTATCCCCATTCCCTATAGGTGGTGGGACTTTGGCATTTTGTTTAAACACTACTAATATGGAGCATTAGTAGTCTTATAGGCTTATTGTATTTTAAACCAATTTGGCATTGTAACCTGTGATTACCTAGAAAGGAAATGATTAGGGAAGTTTGATTCTGCCAAATTTATGATTTCTGAATTTTTTCTCTTTTTACATCCTCTAGTTTCACTTTGGATCAACTCCTGGCTATAACTGTACGATCATTTCTACACACTGTAGAGAAGAGGTAGCCTTTTAGAGCAAAGGACATTCCGTTGCAGTTGTGCTCACACTGGGTATGCACGAATCTTGCAACATGGGTGGTTTCAGGCAACTCAGTTTTTGCATTCTTATTCCTAATATTGATTTGCCTGATAATATATTTGTATTCACAACAGCATTTTTCCCACTTTACAAAACACAGGAGTCTCAAATCTTACTCTGATGAATTGCTCCAACACAAATGTGAAGGGATTGGTCTGGGGTCCTTAAATCCATAAGGCTTTCCAGTCTTTCTTGAGTCATGTATTTTCTTTTTAAGGATGAAGCTTAGCTTTGGGAACTATATTGGATATTCTGTATTCAGATATATGGCAGGTTTGAAGTAGTCCTGACAACTTTGCATTTAGGACTTTGCCCTTTTTGTCCTCTAATTTCAAAAAGACTCATCCATTTAAAGAGAGTTAGTCCTCTGAAAGCAAAACAGAGAGAGCGGTGGTAAAAATAATTATGCACATGTTGAGTATGTGTTATAAGCCAGGACACACAGCTGAAAAAGCATATGTTTGTGACTCTTAGAAGGCACTGAGAGGCTAAACAGCTTGTCCTGAGTCACACAGCCAGTCAGTGGTTCAGCCAGGATTTAAACCTAGGTCATCTGGATCCATGGTCCATGTTCTTAACTCCTATGACATGTTACCTATTTGAGTGATGTCATAAAAGGCTTAAATCAGAACCAGTCTATTTTTTTCTACTTTATGCTAACAAATACAGTATATATGTTAACTGTTAGACTCATTTTGTTTTTTAAGATACTTGGCTTTGTTAAATACAGAGTAAAAGTTGATCATTTCTTTTCTCATTAAACTTTGTTTTAATAGGTCTCAATATTCTATTGACAGATGCTTGGTCAAGTATTTTCTATTAAAAAGTACTGATTTTAAAAGCTAGTAACTTAAAACTACCACACACACAGAAAAAACAAATGGTTCACAAAACATTCTCCTTTCTGTCTGAAGGTCTTAGGTTGCACTGCTATCATCAACCAGTCTTTTACTGTTAAATTGAAGTGGCCAATTGAGACAAACAGTTCTGAGATCATTCTTCCAGTACTGACTAAGACTGGAGTGGTGGGGCAGGGGAGAGGAGTTGACTGTTTTTTAAATAAAGTACAGGGCTTATTTCTGAGTTTTTATATTACGTGTCTTTTTTAAATTACTACTAAAGGGTGAACATCAGATTTCTATACATGTCCCTAAAATATAATCATTAAAGGAACATCTCACTTCATAAATAACTACTTTGGGCTACACGTTACAATGCATTACGTTACGACACACTATTGAGTAACAGCTTGTTGCTTTATTATCTTCTGTTTGTAACTTTTACAAAGAGATTTATTAAATATATTATACTTTATTCCTTTGAATTTAAAAATGAAGGAAGACTTTTTCTGGCACAAAATAAATCTCGTTTGCCAGTTAAGCTATTGTAGATATGTTCATTAAATTGAACGAGCTAAATCTTCAGATAATTTTCATAATTGAGGAGATTGATTTGACAACTGATACATTATTAAAAGTGGGTTTTGATAATCAAAACTGTGATTTTAAACATATAACTTATAAAGAGCTCAAAGATTTAAAGGCAGACATTTATATAATTATAATTCCCACAACTTTTTTATGTGAAAAGGATGAAAGCAACCCCCAAAATAGAAAGTTAATCTAGAATTAATGGCTCTTCTAGTAGTAAGACATATATTTCTCCATACATGCATAAAATAATTCTGAGGGGGAAGTGTATCCCTATTCATCTCATTACAATATGCTTTTCAAGTAAATAACTAGTAAAAAAAATTAACGTTTGTAACTTATGTTTTACTAATAGTCATTATAATGATAACTTAATCCAGTAAAAAGAATGTTGCCCTGTAGGGCATGGCTCAGTGGGTTGGGCATCATCCTGCATTGTGAAAGGTCACCAGATCAATTTTGGTCAGGGCACATGCCTGGGTCACCGGTCAGGTCCCCCACTAGGGGCGTCCCAGAGGCAACTGATTGATGTTTCTCTCTGTCTCTTTCTTCCCCTCTTTCTAAAAATAAATAAATAGCCCTGGCTGGTGTGGCTCAGTGGAGTGAGCACTGGCCTGTGAACCAAAGTGGCACAGGTTCAATTCCCTGGTCAGGGCACGTGCCTGGGTTGTGGGCCAGGTCCCAAGCAGGGGGCATGTGCGAGGCAACCACACAGTGATGTCTCCCTCCCTCTCTTTCTTCCTCCCTTCTTCTCTCCCTAAGAAATAAAATTTTAAAAGGTTGCTCCTCAAAAGTATCAGTGCATTTCCTTTAAAAAAAGAAAAAGGAAAATGAATGTTAACTTTTCAGCCTTATGGATTCAGAAATTAAAAATTTTAATGGCAGTCAAGTATGGCAGGGTGATCAGAAAATATACTATGATAAAACTTTGGGGAAAATTAAATGGAAACAGTTCAAGGAGAGAAAAGAAGGATGTAAATTTTCCAACTGTTAAAGAAAGTTTAGTTTTTTAAAGGGTTTTGGTTCCATTTTAAAATGTTTAAATTTAAAACTACTAGAATATCTACCCTTTTTAAATATTTAAGCTTAAAGTAAAATATTTTAGATACCAATCTTAAAACTTGTGGGAAGGAGTTTATATATGCGTATTTTCTGGGGAGTAGGGTCTGTAGCTTTCATCACATCCTTAAAGGGTGGAGTATGTGAGCCAAAAAACAATTAAGATAGTTAGAAGCAAAGTCACCATATTCCAAGGGCACAATATTAGTTCTGGTCTCAACTTGTTCATTGTATCTTTTCCTGTGCCCCCATGTAGATGTATGAAAGATACAAAAGTATATCTGCTTTTAAAAAATCTCAGTAGCAGAGTTCTTAGTTCAAAACCATCTTTTGTCTCTGTAGAATAACTATGTTTATCCTCTGTTTATTTAATATTTACAAGTACTATCTGTTTCAGTTTGAAGGAAGGAAGTACTGTGAACATGATTTTCAGATGCTCTTTGCACCTTGCTGTCATCAATGTGGTAAGTTCTGCTGAGTGTAAAATATAAGTAAGTTTCAAAATTACTTAAGCTATTTAACACTACTAAAGTGTCAGTGGTGTTTGGACCTTGTTGTAAATAGCATTTAGGTGATTTACCAGTCCTCTTTCCTATTATTAATATATAACAAATGGGAAAAGTATCAAAACCTGATACTTTTTTGTATGGAGAGAGGCGTGGGTTGCTCAGTTGGTTCAGGTTGTGTGCAGAAGGCAGCCGATGTATGTGTCTCTCTCACATGATGTTTCTCTCCCTCTTTGTCTCCCTCCCTTTCCCTCTCCATACAATAAAAAAAGAAAAAGTAAACTTTAAAATATTTTTTAAAGAGAGAGAAATGATTTTTAAGGACTTCTAATATAAAGGTATTTTGGGACAAACTAGGACTTCCGTTAGATGATCTTTTAGAATGTTCATTTCCCCTGTTAGTGCAAAGTATTCGTGCTCGCTTTTGCGTTTGCAAGAGAGAGAGAATATAAGTGAGGTACACAGATACTTAAAAATTGCCTGTGTGTACCCCTGGCTGGTGTGACTCAGTAGATTGAGCACGGTCCTGTGAACGGGAAGATTGCCTGTGTGTTACACAAGTACCAGGCTTGCTTGCTCCTTAGCCCCTTCACTGGTTGCTAAGAGCCCTACTAAAACGTCTCCAGAGATTAGAGAAACTGATTAGAATGTTGCAGTGGTTTAATGAAAGAAGAAATTAAGCATGGATTACAAGAATATATTCTGTGGATTTCAGTTTTCTGTGTCAATTATGACCAGAAATTACCAAAAGACATTCAAGAGAGCCTTGTATATTGTTTCTAAAAGGAAAGTCAGATTCAGAGATGTGATAAGACAGCCTGAAAATATAGCTACAACATCAAAAACAAGGACACAGATGAAATAGAAAACATTTTTCTGGTATAGTGCTTACTGTGGTATGTATGTGTCCTTGTATGTGTATGGTAGACGCATACATGAAAAGTCCTTACTTGTGGAAAAAGGCTTAAATATATTTTTCCTCATATTTTTTTCCCTTACCACTTTTAGCAGTAAAACACCATACTGGATATGCTTTGTGTGTACCTTTCCACAGGTGAATTCATCATTGGCCGAGTTATCAAAGCCATGAACAACAGCTGGCACCCTGAGTGCTTCCGCTGCGACCTCTGCCAGCAAGTCTTGGCAGACATCGGATTTGTCAAGAATGCTGGCAGGTAGGAGTTTTTATCCTTGTCAGGTGCATGTAGATGAAGTGACTACTACAAGGTCATGCATATTTTCTCATGGGACTGTCAGACAGTGCTTTACGACACTGAATTTAAGGTATAGGGACTCAGAGCTGGTGCCTATTAGGAGAGGACCCTACAATTTCTGTGCTGCAGTGCTTAGCTGCACCTTATGTTCCTGGGCTGACAAAAAGAGGGAAAGGTACTTAAAATGCAGTTTCTTAAGTATCAGTCAGATTACTTGGGTTGGAATAAATACTTTTTTATATAAAAAGTAGTGGCTTGATTCTGCTCTATTAAGTCATCAGTGATTTTTAAAGACATAGTTTCCATAATTTCTTTTGGGAGATAGGAGAAGCATATTTCTTTTTAATTATTAGGAAGGACCTTAGATATTAAATTTAAGTTTTTAAAGAAGTTTTGGTTCTGTTTAGACATCTGTGTCGCCCCTGTCATAATCGTGAGAAAGCCAGGGGCCTTGGAAAATACATCTGCCAGAAATGCCATGCCATCATTGATGAACAGCCTCTGATATTCAAGAATGACCCTTACCATCCAGACCATTTCAACTGTGCCAACTGCGGGTATTGTAATATCTTTCTTATTGCACAAATGGTGGAAATAAAATAACATTTCTCTGTATTTCTGTTATTCCTGCAAACCAGATTGTTTTTCTCAGACTTTTAACCTGGAAAATTTTAAACCTGTAGAAAAGTCAGGAGAATAATATAAAGAATACCTACATGCCCATCATTTAGTTTCATCAGTTAACATTTTGCCCCATTTGAGTGGGTGTGCAGCATACTTTGTGTGCATTTACATATATAGACCTTGAAATATTCAAACCATATTAAAATGTCCCAAATCATCTCAAAAACTTTTTCCAATACAAGATTCAAAAAGAGCTTTTAAAAGTCTTATCTTTGTGTGTATATATATAACTTCTACAGTTGTAATAATTAGGGTATTATTTCAAAATATCTTAAATTACATCTAAAGGGAATTTTTTTTTTTCTTCAAAATCTCATGACAAATTGTTGGGCTATGATTTTCTGAATTTGTTATCTAATATAAAAATTTAAATGAAAATGGTACTTTACTATAATAAATATGAACTTACATGCTAAATTCTTGTGGGGGAAGAAGTACGGTAGGCAAAAGGTCAAGAAAACAGTTTTGTGTTATTAGTACAGCCACTTCATGTTTTTTGTGATTCTCAGTTTGTGCCTTACCTGGTTTTCTTGCCTGTCCTCTGATAGGATATTTCTTATTTTTCATTAGCATTATTAAAGAATTACTTAAAAGGTGAAATTCAGACATGTCCATTTGACTAATTGGGGCTATCTCTGGCATGTTTATTGACAAAGGAGACCGAAAATAACAGTACATTTAAGTATTTGGAAATAGAAAATTCTGGTCATTTCATTTGTTTATTTCCTATTAGCATATAACTATTCTTGAAAGCTTGTGACAGTTTAAATAATTACTATTAAATGGATCTAGCCTCTAAACTCCTCAGTTATTTTAGAAAGATAATATCACTGAGTCTGTCGTAAGCATTGTTGTTATTCTCTAGCTTTTTAAAGATGACAAATGGACTATTTTATGATAATAGATGAGAAACTGATAGATATGACCAGTGTGATGGTATATATCTGACGTATTGGTACATGTTATCATTACTGTAAGGATATTGAAATCTGTTAATTCACATTACTCTGATCATCAGGAGGGAAAAGAAGTTACAGGGATTGTTATAGTGATATCTTCAAAAAACCTTCTAAAACGTTTTAGACACATTGTTGCCTAGTTTTTTCCTCTCTTGATGGTATCACATTTGGTATCTTTCTCTTGGACAGAAAGGAGCTGACTGCTGATGCCCGGGAGCTGAAAGGAGAACTGTATTGCTTGCCATGCCATGATAAAATGGGCGTCCCCATCTGTGGTGCTTGTCGACGGCCCATTGAAGGGCGAGTGGTAAATGCCATGGGCAAACAGTGGCATGTGGAGGTAGGTTCTAAATGATACAGGGGCAAACAGTACTTTTAAATATCTTTGGTTCATATTTGTTAGCAAGATTAGAAGATTTTAAAGAATAAATGTGAACACTTTAAAGACAGCTGACTTTGTAGAAAATTAGGAATAGAGAATATACACTGTTTTAGTGAGCTCTTGGTAATGATATAGGATGTGATGTTTTGTTCTTAATTTTTTAAAATATATTTTATTGATTATGCTCTGAGAGTTGTCCCAAAATTTTTTCCCCTTTGCCTACGTCCACCTCATACCCCCTTCCCTCCAGGAATCCCCCCCCCCTCAGTTCATGTCCATGGGTTGTGCATGTAAGTTCTTTGGCTTCTCCATTTCCTTACTATTCTTAACATCTCCCTGTCTATTTTAAACCTAATTATGCTTCTTATTCCCTATACCTTTGCCTCCATTCTCGCCACTGAAAACCCTCCGGATGATCCCCATAGCTATGATTCTTTTCCTTTCTACTTGTTCACTGAGTTTGTTTTAATTTTTTTATTTTTTTAGGTTCAGTTGTCCATAGTTGTGAGTTTGTCAGTTTACTGTTCATAGTTTTTGATCTTCTTTTTCTTAAATAAGTCTCTTTAACATTTCATATAATAAGGGCTTGGTGATGATGAACCCCTTTAGCTTTACCTTATCTGGGAAGCACTTTATCTGCCCTTCAATTGTAAATGATAGCTTTGCTGTGTAGAGTAATCTTGGTTGTAGGTCCTTGCTTTTCATGACTTTGAATACATCTTTCCAGCAAGATTTCTTTTGAGAAATCAGCGAATAGTCTTATGGGAACTCCTTTGTAGGAAACTCTCCTCTTACTGCTTTTAAGAATCTCTCCTTATCTTTAATCTTGAGTAATTTAATTATGATGTGTCTTGGTGTGGCCCTCTTTAGGTCCAGTGTGTTTGGGACTCTGCGTGCTTCCTGGACTGGTATGTCTATTTCCTTCATCAATTTAAGGAAATTTTCTTTCATTATTTTTTCAAATAAGTGTTCAATTTCTTGCTCTTCCTCTTCTCCTTCTGGCATCCCCGTGAATCAGATATTGGCACGTTGGGAGATGTCCCAGAATCTTCTTACTCTCTCTTGATTTTTTTTTAATTCTTCTTTCTTTATTCTGTTCTTGGTGAATGTTTATTTCTTCCTTATGTTCCAAATCATTGATCTGAACCCTGGCTTCCTTTCCTTCACTGTTGGTTCCCTGTAGATTTTTCTTGATTTCACTTAGTGTAGCTTTCATTTCTTCCCTTTTGAGTTTTTGGAGCATCCTGTTACCAGTGTTTTGAACTCTGCACTCGATAGGTTGGTTATCTCAGTTTTGCTTAGTTGTTTTTCTGGAGTTTTGGTCTGTTCTTTCATTTGAGCCATATTTCTTGTTTCCTCAATTTGGCAGCCTCCCTATGTTTGTTTCTATGTATTAAGTAGAGATGCTTTGACTGGCTGTTCTGGCACACGTATTGTGTTGTAAGGTGCAGAACCTTAGGTATTCACCAGGGTGGGGCAACCCACTCTCTGCTTTGTGGCTCTGTTTGTGGGGGAGAGGTTGGAGAGGAAACAATGCCATTTGCTCAGCTCTTGCCTGTTTCCAGTCACTTCCCCCAAATGTCTCACCTCCTGTATGCAACTAGCGCCCTTCTAGCAGCTGCCCTGGTGCTTAATACCAGACTGGGTGTATTTGCATACATTCTAGGACCACGTGGGTCCTTTAAACAGACTCTCCTGAGAGACTGGCAGTTCTTCTTCCACACCAACCCCCACTGATTTTTACAGCCAGAAGTTATGAGGCTTTTTCCCCCCAGGCGCTGGTACCCTGTGCTGTGCCTTCTGGCCCAGGGCTGGGATCACTCACTCCCCAGGTGACTCTCCCAGTTCTTATCCACCACACACGAATGGGGGACCACCAGTGACAGCTGCCACACTGCATCCTCTTACCCTAATTCCCTGTCTCTGCCCCTCCTACCTGTCTGGGTGAATATTTCTTTAAATCCTTGGTGGTCAACCTTCCATACAGTGTGATTTTCTCGCAGTTCTGCTTGTTTTTAGTGTTGAGGTTAGTTTTGATCCTTCTTATGGTTGCTTGAGGAGGTGAGGCATGTCTACCGAGGGCTCCATCTTGGCTGGAAGTGTGTTCTTAACTTTTCTTGAGAGAAGCAGTGTCATGGTTCATCTGCAGCGGCAGCTCTTGCTTACAGGTGTTGCTCCTCATTTTGTGAAGTTTGAATGGTCTGGGTCTTCACTTTTCAAAAACACCTGAATTAAGACTGAAATTGCTGCAGGAGTACCTATGGCCAAATGAAACTGCTGCCTGAAACTTTCATGTATTTTCTCTGAGGATGGTATAACTTTAGAGTTTTACTTCATTTTATAAGTAAAATATGGCAAATCAAAAATGACCTATAGCAATTTTTTTCAGCATTTTGTTTGTGCCAAGTGTGAAAAGCCATTTCTTGGACATCGCCATTATGAAAGGAAGGGCCTGGCATATTGTGAAACCCACTATAACCAGGTATTGTTTGTACTCATTGGATACTAGATGTACTTTTATCAATTTAAGCTTATCAGTATTTCAGCTTCAAAGAAATCTCTTGGAAATGGTTTTTTTTCCACTCTAGTACTTGACCCAGGCGAGGGTTGTCATGTTCCTTTAGCTTCCTTAAATTTGGAACACCTCCAGAACCTTTTTTGTTTTTTGGTAGTAATGAAAAGTAAATTATGTTCATCATAACAAGTAAAAATTAGTCAACTGCTACAAGTTTTCTCTAGTAATAGTAAAATCTAGATTTTGGTAGCCACCTATTTATTTTTAAGTGGTAAAAAGAAACAAAATTATATTAAATGTTTGATGTTTTAAAACGTATTTCTAACCCATCTTGAATTTTTACCGCTTTTTCATTTTTTAGCTATTTGGTGATGTTTGTTTCCACTGCAATCGTGTTATAGAAGGTGATGGTAAGTAACTGTAGGAATTGCATATGGCACTATTTTGACACAAAAGCACTTGGGAAACGTGAAAATTGTAAGAGGTTGATTACTGTAATTGTTTGGAATGTGATTGTTATCAGTTACTTTTTTTCCTTATTTGGTCCTTTTCCTAAACAGTTTATATCAGTAAGTATAGCCTAAGAGTTGGATTTGTTCCTCATTTGATAATACTTCAGGCCAGTGCCACAGAGTTGTTACACTAGAAGTGTAAAAAGCATTTATGGCCAATCCCGAAACCTATTTCACTTTCCTTTCCTTAGAATTATATAACTTGGAAGCTATAAAGCAGTGTTTATTAAGAACAGTTTAGTCTACTATGATAGTTAGGAAGAGTCACTTTAACCTTCCAGATCTTAAAACTTGGCAGTTATCTATAGATGTTTCTAGGACTTACTGCCACTGTACTGGGATAATTAGGCACAGCAGATTGATTGGAACCAAGCACTGGTTTTTCCTTATAAACCCTGGCACAGTTCTTCGAGAAACTTCCTGTCAAAGTTTTGAACATTTCTGTTTTCAACATGCTTCATGGTTCTTGGCAGGGAGCCACACTCAGAAAATACTCGCTGAAATAATGCACATACGCAGTTTGCAAAAAGATTAGTTCAGGAAAGCAATCTGTAGTGCTATCAAAATAAACCTTTCTCCTACATGGGACAGTTACCAGATGAAAGTTGCTGTCAAAGGAAGCTCTTAGTTTGAAAATAAATAAATAAATAAATAATGACTCTTGTAAGTGAATACATAAATGTCTACATTTTCTTTTTCCCTTTACTTCTCTATTCTGTATTTCTCTGATGGACCAGTGGCAGTAGGAACAGAAAAGTAGTGAGAAGTGTGCTTGCTGGTAGGCAAGCACTGTGCCACAAAAGTTCATCTAAGTGACATATACACTGCACTGTCCACAGGAGTGAGAGGACAAGAGCTTTGTTGTGAATACATGGTACATACCATTTATATGCCTCATAAGACACTCAAAGGAAAGGAAAAAGAAAAATATTAACTATAAATAGAGGTTGATGTGCAGTTTCCTACATTCATACCTTCAATGAATGGTTTCCTAACAAGTGAAGCTCAGTCAAGCATTTTCAAAAGACACAGAGCAGTAATACTTAACCGATACAGTTTTAAATGCAGGAAGAATAGAAGTAGATCTCTGTGTATATTTTTGAAAAGTACAGGTTGAGCCCTGGCTGGTGTCACTCAATGATTTGAGTGCCGGCCCACAAACCAAAAGATCACCAGTTTGATTCTAGGTCAGGGCACATGCCTGGGTTGAAGTCTAGGTCCCCAGTTGGGGGTGTGTGGGAGGCAACTGATCAATGTCTCTCTCCCTCTCTTTCTCCCTCCCTTCCCCTTTTCTCTAAAAAATAAATAAAATCTTAAAAAAAAAAGTAAAAGTAAAAGTTGAAAAGGGCAATAATAATATTCCTAAGATGAAGCTTACAGTCATAAAAGACATAAATTGTTTGTATGTTTTTATTTATTTATATATTTTTATTGTTCAAGTACTTGTCTTCATTTTCCTGCCACCACTTTCCCCTGCCCCATCCACCTCCACCTCCCACCCTCAATCCATCCCCACTTTGGCTTTGTCCATGGGTCCTTTATACATGTTCCTTGATTTGACCCTTCCCTTTCCTTTCACTGTTACCCACCTCCCTCCTTCCCTCTCGATACTGTTGGTTTGTTTTTTCTTTCAATGTTGCTGGTTGTATTTTTCTTACTTGTTTGTTTTGTTGATGAGATCCCACTTATAGGTGAGATCATATGGTATTTGTCTTTTATCCCCTAGCTTATTTCGCGTAGCATAATGCTCTTCAGTTCCATCCACACTGTCGGGAAGGGTAGTAGCTCACTCTTTCTTTCTGCTGTGTAGTATCCATTGTGTAAATGTACCATAGTTTTTTGATCCACTCATTTATTGATGGGCACTTAAGTTGCTTCCAGCATTTGGCTATTGTAAATTATGCTGCTAAGAACATTGGGGTGCACAGGTTCTTTTGAATTGGTGTTTTGGGATCCTTAGGGTATAATCCCAGCAGTGGAATCGCTGGATCAAAAAGCAGTTCCATTTTTAGCTTTTTGAGGAAATTCCAAACTGTTCTCCACAGTGGCTGCACCAGTCTGCATTCCCACCAACAGTGCACTAGGGTTCCCTTTCCTCCATGACCTTGCCAGCACTTATTGTTTTTTACAATTTGTGTTTTTAATGTGAAAAAAATAAATAAAATTGTTTCAATAAACATTAATTAATGACACCAAGGTTTTTTAACTATGTGATTCTTTTGCAAGCAATCCTCTGAGAACCTCTTCCAAGTGTCTTGAAAATAACCTTACCTTAACTCTGTCTTAAAGTTGAAAACTTCAGCTCCCCCATTTTCCATGCCATGTATGTGACCAGATGTCTTTCCTCTTTCTCTAGTGGTCTCTGCTCTTAATAAGGCCTGGTGTGTGAACTGTTTTGCCTGTTCTACGTGCAACACTAAATTAACACTCAAGTAAGTACACGTTTTGGTCCAGCAGGTGTCCCAACACTGAAAATTTGGGAATAACGGTTTTTTAAAACAGAGTTTTTAAAAAGATAATTATTTGATTCCTTTTTTCTTCTTTCTACTCAGGCCTTCTGAAAGTAAAAGTTCTTCCTTTAATTGTTTCCTGTTCTTCTATTTCTTCTTTGTCCTACTCAAAGGGATAAGTTTGTTGAAATTGATCTAAAACCAGTCTGCAAACACTGTTATGAGAAAATGCCAGAAGAATTTAAGAGGCGACTTGCCAAACGGGAGAGAGAAGCAAAGGATAAGGACAAGCAGAAAAAGAAAAAGCCTGTCTGTTTGTAAACTTTTCTATCCCTTCTATCATTTTCACTACTTTCTTCTTTGGTTAGTCCTTTAGAATGTTTTTGTTCTGTTTTTGTCTTTTGCTTTTTTTTTGGCATGTATTTGTAACTGCTAGAGAGTAAAATACCAGTATCCATCCTCTATAGAGTTGGTTCTTTCACGTAATTATTAATATTATAGATCATAAAGTAATAAGATTCATGCTTAATACCAGCTTGTACTTCACTTATTTCCCTTAATTTGTAGATTACCTGATCTCTTTTTTTAAATCACAGTATGAGGGTAAAATTTTCTCTCTCTCTCTCTCTCTCTCTCTCTCTCTCTCTCTCAGTGGATTCAAAGGGAAGAATATCAATTCCTTGATACTGGGAAAGTTTTAAAGTATTTTTGTCTGATAATTGCAACTGTTAAAATCCTAGTTTTGAGTTTCTTTGCCTAAATTAATCTAATTGATAAATTTCAAGTGTTTCGTGTTCTAAAGTTCAGTAATAAATTAAATCCTTTCAGTGTGTTTCAGATCTAAGAAAATACCTTGTAATGTACATAATGAGATATATGCTATCTTTGGTGTATGTACCAGGTGGGGCAAAAGCAGGTTTAAAGTTGTTCACGTGGAAAATAATACAGTAATTAATAAATAATAATACAACAATAAACTCTGTTTCGTGTACTCACAATTATAAACCTACTTTTGCCACACCCTGTAGATGTGCTTTCATATAAAGCCCATATGTTTACTGGTAATGAGTTCATTTTCTTTCTTTTTTTTTTTTAAGATTTTATTTATTTATTTTTAGAGAAAAAGGAAGGGAGGGAGAAAGGGAGAGAAACACTGACGAGCAAAAGAAACATCAATCAGTTCCCTCTCACATGCCCCAAGATGGGGACTTGGCCCCAAAACCCAGGCATGTGACCTACCCAGGAATCATCCAGCGACCTTTTGGTTTGCAGGAGGATGTCAACACACTGAGAGCCGTACCATTCAAGTCAATGAATTAATTTTCTTGAAATTTCCAATCTCTATTCCTGATTTTTATGTAAAATAATTCAGTCTTTGAAATTTTGTTGAATTACTAGCATGATTATCCCATTTTTTTCCTTTATGGTTATGACTGTGTTCTAACTCTAAAAGTTTTCTTAGTTTTTCAGTTTTCATGTTTCTTTCTATAAATAGGAATTAAAATTCAAATATGAAATTAAAACAGTGGGAGGATGGCTTAGCAGTATCTGCAAAAGAAGTGGTAATTTATTTCCTTCAATTAAAAAAAATGACAGTTTTAGTCATTTCTGTTCTAGGAAGACTTTGGGAGAAGTTTTTAATTCATGAGTTGAAATCAAACTGATAAGTGAAATGTGACATCATTTGCATTACTATTAGCATTTTCTAACTGTTTATCTCTGAAATACAGTTAGTAAAAGGTGTTAGCAGATACAATCACCTGTCGTAGGTGACAATGTACTACTAGACTTGATCCACAACTGGATATATTCTTAAATATAATTACAAAGATGGTGAACAAGTTATAAAGTTATTTATTCAATTCACAATTGAGGCCCTGGATTTCTGCATTAATAAGGTATTGTAATTACAAATTGTCAAAGTATTACAGATAGAAGGACGTCTGAAACCGTGTCTTCTCCATAACTGTTTTACAAATAAATTGATAATGTGTATTGCTCTAGCTTTTAAAAAGAAGACTTTATTTAGTTCACAGAATGTAACCACAGGCAATCTGGTTCATTTGTGTTCATTAAGAGTGATCAAAAACTTTCCTATATCTCCCTTACCAAGCTTTCTGTCAGACAGTCAACCAAAATAACCCATTCTGATTTAAGATTCTTTGTCAGATGATTATTTAAGTTGATTTTGGAGGGTGACAGGGTGAGGGGTGGGGTGGGAGGCAAACTATTTTATGCTAGCAAAGATGAAACCATATAACTACCTAATTTAAAATAGCAAGATTAATTTGACTTCAATAAAGAGGATCATTCAAATTCAGAAATACAATTCTTTTCTTCAAGTAACTTTAAAAGTGTTCTCATGGTACTTTAAAATATGATTGACTTTACTTACCTAAATTATATTTACATTAGATTTCCTGTATACTTAACACTGGCTGCAACGTAGTACACATTCTGTATTACACAGGTAGATGTATAGGATCAATTTATAAGACAATTGTTTTTTAAATATTGTCAAGTTTTTACATCTACCACAATGACAGGAATTGACATTAGAATTATACTTGTTTGCTAACACATCATCATATAGTATCTTTATTTACTTCAGTAAAAGTATTAACATTATTTACATGTCTATGTTAAATATATTTCCACTAATTTTTTTATTATTATCTTTAGGAATAAATTTGTGGAGTTTGATATGAAACCAGTCTGTAAGAAGTGCTATGAGAAATTTCCGTTGGAGCTGAAGAAAAGACTTAAGAAACTAGCTGAGACCTTAGGAAGGAAATAACTTCTTTTTTCTCTTCAAAGATAAGAGAGTACCAACATTATTGACCTGACCCACCCTATTTAAAACCTGTCTCAGAATAATTGAGTGTAGAAAACCTAAATTTTCTTCATCTCCTTTTTCTCATTAAAAAAGAAGAAATGTTTGTGTGATCATATTTAAAACATGTGACATCAAGATTTCACGTTTGTTAATAACCCTTACCAATTTATTAAAATGTAGATTATGCTTAATAGCAAAGAGACATATTTAAATGTTAAATTTTAATTAATGTTCAAAAAATTAAATGCAACTTTTTTTTTTTTTTTTTTTTTTTTTTACCATTACCATTTAGTCCTCCTCCACCCTACTTCTCCCTACAGTCACCACACTGTTGTCCATGTCCGTAAGTCCTTTTTCCTTTTTGCTCTCTACAACTTTTGGTTTTGGCTGTATTTTAAAATTAAATACAGCTTTTAAAAAGGAACAGAAGGAGTCAACTTTTTACATGACTCAGATTAAAAAATATAAACATTATTTTATTTTGTACTCAAAATTAATTCCAGCTGCTGTTGTGGAGGATAGAAGGAAGAAAAAATAACCAAGAAAAACAAGTTTTATGGAATATTAGTATGTTTATCAAACTGGTAGCTGTAAAATGAATATACACATTACTAACATGAAACAAGTGTTTTCAGAACTACTTCATTTGAGTTTTGTTTTTGCTGTTGTTAAATGCAATAATTATGCTTCATATTTTCAAATTATGCTTAGTTTTGTGTTTTGTTTTCCTTGTAAACTTCTTTCTTCATGCAGTTAACACATTAGTTATAGCTAGCTAATAGTCTGCCTTTTAAAATTTTGTGCAAAAATTTATTCTATGTATTTGAAATTGCAGTATAATTTGCAGTATTGGAAAATGAAAGTTTTTTTTATGTATTACAGCAATTAATGCTTCTAAGCGTAATATCAAAGAGTAGTTGTAGAATAGGACATGAAACTAAATTTTTGGTAGCTTGGAATGTATGACTTAAAAAAAGTGAATGTATATGTTTTGGTCATATTGTCTTTATAACCAAGTTAATATCTATGCTTTAGACATAAACTTGCCATGCCTTAGAGAAGCATAATTTAATCAGGAGTTCTAGCTGTTCCATACAGTTCCAACTAAAAATAAATGTATTGATTGAAATTTATAAACTCAAATTCATTTACCACAGCTATGATTATATTTTCAAAAATGTTTTCTCCCTTTTTGGGAAATATTAAAGTTAATTTCTGCCATCTTATTAGAAGAGAATGATGTTGATATGTATTTCAGGTTTTTCATTTCAGATCTCATAGTTAATTGGATTTTTTTTTTTTTTTTTTTTTGCTTTAAGTAAGCTGTATAAATGGCACTTTTAAATTGGAAGGGGGATATTTTAGTGTAAATTTTAGGTCAAAAATAGTGAATTATTCTACTTCATAAAACATTTTATTCTGAAGTCCCTGGACCATTCTTTCTTGATAAAATTGTATGCAAAGCATTTAGTTTTGAACATTATTTGACTGTTGCTGCTCCTGTGTTGTTATTTGAAAGAAGGTTGACAAGATGGACTTCAAAGGGGAAAATTATTGTTTTTCCAAAAATTGCTGAAATATTGTTTTGCCATTAAATATATCATCTCAGGATACTAACACTCTGCCATTAAAACATTTCTATGCATGTATTAAAAACTTTGTGTGTGCACTTTAAGGATAAATTCTATTTCAGGTTTCAGATAACTTACAATCAATAACTTACTTTAGTGTTTTTTAGAATTCAAAGAATTACAAATGATTGAAAATAATTAAATATATAGTTTAAGATGGCATGTGTTCAGAAGTTTAAAACAGTCTTTGCATTTGACAGTAAGAATCTAAATCCCTCCAGTGTGCCTTTGTCAGCTAATTTATGACCAGCACTGAAAATCTTGAACGTATTTATTAAATATTATACTATGGATATAGACAAAATAGTACAGGGTTTGCAGTAGGGTTTGATGCTAAATTTTAAAATACTTCTACACCAGAAATACAAAGCAGAAAAGCAACCATTTACCCATACACGCGCGCACACGCACACACCCTCCATCCTATATTCTTAATCACTTTGAAGATGCCTGACTGAACTCAGCTGCTTTGTCTACATACCTTATATAGCCAGGCCTCTCCTGTAGCTAGAGGTCCCAGTGCTCTCTTTGCTCATTCTTCTCTTACAATATGAATTAATATTTCCTGGAAGTTCAACTTGTTAGGGTATTTTATCTGGATACAGTACTTCCTTAATGAGGCTATCATTGGATCCCTTACATGTAGGGAGGAAAAAGTTGAAAAGTTGTATTGGAATAGAAGACATTTGATTTACTTCATAATATTTTTTGTGGGTCTTTTCCTAGCTGTTTAAACTCTTTGTTTAAAGTCCATCAAGGCAGTTTTAAATAATTTATTGTTTTTACCAAATTTCTAAGTGCTCTTTTCTCTTACCAAGCCTAGTATAATTGGAGGAAATGTCTGGAAATAAATAAAACATTCTTTGGATCATATTGTAAGCCTTATTAACATTGTACCTGAACTGATACTTGTTTGCCTCACTTGTTTGCCAAAATAGCCATTTCTACCTTCAGGAAATTTCAATGTAGGCTAACAGCATTCTTACTGTATTTCATTTTAGATTGTAAACTCAATGTCAGGGACACTATATAGCTAATTACGTTTTTATATAACAACCTTTGCAGTATATTCTTTGTACTTAATAAATGTTCATAATTAATAACGATGTTGTGCATTATTCCATTTGAATGGCTTTGACACCTAGAACTATGAGAAGACAGGGCTAATGTTTTAAGAAAGCCTTTTTGGAACAACCCAAGTGTCCATTGATGGATAAATGGATAAAGTATGGTGTATACAGTGGACTGGTAATCATAAAAGAAGGAAATCTTGCCATTTGCAAGAACATGGATGGCTTTTGGGTTTTGAAAGTATGCTAAATGAAATAAATCAGAAAAACAAATATCATGATTTCAGCTATATATGGAATCTAAACAAAAACAAAAACAAGCTTATAGATATAAGGAGGAGATGGTGACCACCAGAAGTGGGAGTAGGGTGTGGGCAAAATGGGTGAGGGGCTTAAAAGGTACAAACTTCCAATTATAAAATAAGCGGGATGTAATGCACAGCATGGCATATGTAGTTAATGATAACGTAATGCATATTGAAAAGTTGCTGAGAGAGTAGTAGATCTTAAAAGTACTCATTACAAGAAAACAATTTGTAACTGGCATTGGATGTTGACTTATTGTGGTGGCTATTTCACAATATATACAAGTATAGAATCATAGTAAACCTGAAGCTGCTAATAATATGTCAATTATATCTCAGTTTTTATGAGTGCCACATTTTTTAAAAAGCAAGGCATTTTAAAATTCTGTATGTCGTTTTTGGATTTTTTTGTTTGTTTTTTTAGGAACACAATATAAAAGTATGATATCTAACACCCTGAAAAATGTCAAATTTAATTTCTCTAGAAAATTCACACGGCAATTTCCACAAATACTGTGTTTTTTAATCATTACAACGGTATGAGTTACTTAAAATTCTTCCCACTTTTACAGCAGAGGATTTGCATAGTGATGTTAATAAGTAGGTCCTGTTTCTCTCTCTTGGCATGTGTGTAAGATGTGTTTATGTGTTTGTATGTGTAAGAAAATTCAAGTGTTCTTGAATACATATAGTACAAACCTTCATGTGTATGAATAAAAGAAGATGATCTGGTAATTATGTATGAGAATAAGCCAAATCTTAGAAGCATATAGAATAGTAGTGGAGTCTTCCCACTAATAACCATAAATTCTGATAGTTTTCCTTTTTTTTTAAACGTAAGATGCTTGTTTAAGCAACAGGATGCTTGACTTGAAGGGAAAACTATCTAGGAATCACTTTTTTTAGAGTAATTTATCTCTCCTTAAAGGCAGATTGCCCTACGTGTAGCAGCTATGTATTAAAAAAATTATAGAATTGTCCTTGGTTTTACAGTGATAAATGAAAAACATTAAAATTCTCCAATCTAACAAAGAAGAGATGGTGACTGCCAGAGGTTTAAAATGCCTTTTTTTCCCCTTTTTCTTTTTTTTTTTTTTTTATTAAACAGTGAGAGCAAAATAACTTGCTGGATAAGAAAGATAAGGGCTGAATGACCATGCCGCTAATGGAAAGGGGGGATATTTTCACAGAACCAGTTTTCCCCTATCCAATCTCCATTTGATACCCATCAAAACATACCATTGGCTGTCTAATTTTTAAAAATACAAATTCTCATGCACGTACATCAAGTACCCAATGTACAATAAAGGAAAAGAGAAGGGGAAAGTGAAAGAATAGAAAAAACAGTAGCAGGTGGAACCAAACAGCAGTTTTCTTAGACTATCTTGGTCTGGAACACAAGAGTTAGTAAAGTAGCAGGTTCCCTTCATAGTAAACACTTCCTATCTGCTACTAGAACACACAATTGTATCTTCATCCTCCATTTACAACTCTGCAGGTGTGTTTGCTTCATTGATTAGCTGCCCATCAAGTCGCAATATGATCTGCTTCATTGACAAACCCTGTCCTTCACAATAGGCTTTTGTTAGTTTTCTAAGTGGTGTGTGGCTCTATATCTCATACTGCACCCCAGAACCATCCTGCCCTGCCACCTTCAAATTAATATGATCGTTCTCAGTCTGTACTCCTGCCTTGGGCTTTTTGTCAGCCACGGCAAGTGCCAGAGTGTCCTCAGCTGCTGCTTCACAAAAGAGGTACCATGTCTGCACCCAGAGAGCATGCAAGCAGCACTAGGAGTGGCCCATAGTTTCATTTCTTAACAAAGGAGACATTTAAATATTAGGTTGGACAAAAATTCCATTTAGTTTTTTCTATAAAGTAAAAGACACATTTTTCATTTTCACCAATAACTATTGATTTGGATATTTTGAGTATGTCACCTATCTCCCACTACTGACCTCTAGTGATCAGAGGCCAGGGCTGCTGCTAAACACCTTCCAATGCCTAAAACAGCCCCACAGCAAAGAATTACTTGGCCAAAATGTCCACAGTACCAAGAAATTTTGGACACCATTCTTGACACAGTCAGTCACAGCACCTCCATATACTGCACAAATCTTTTATGTTTCAGTTGGGTTTTTACCTTTCTTGAAATAATAAAGCATAGATGCAGAAAATGTGTATCATTTTCCATCTTCAGTATTAAAATGCACAAAAATTCACCAATTGTGATGTTTTTTTAATGCATACTGATATGACAACTGTCATAATACAGTCTAACAAAATTGTTTGGGATGAAATTAAAAACTAAGCACTATGGGAAAAACAAAGTTTTGGCCAACCCAATATATCATTCAGCAAGCCTTGAGGCACTATGTGTAGCGTGTTGAGAATATGATGGTCACTGCCAGTGCATTCCTCTTTTTGTGCTTCATCCTTCCTGGTTCTTCAGCCTCCATAATTGGAGATCCTGGGTACTCTGTCTGATTTGAGTCTTGCACTTCTTTTCCTCCGGGCAGGTGCAGAGCTTTGATTTCTCCCTGCCCAGGTAGGAGAGAGGCGTAGTTACAAAACGTGGAAAGTTTGTGATGGAGTGAGCATAGGGTTTTGCAGTATCGCAACAGTATCACCCCCAGCAGAACAGGATGGAAGGCTTCTTAGGTGATCCATCTCAAAAGGAGAATACAGGTTAACCGGGCAGAGGATTGGGCCACGAGATGGATTGCCTTGGATTTCTTCCATTTCCTGTTTTCTCCATTTCCCGTAGTGGCATCACCATCTATTGAGGCTTCCAACCTAATACTGTGTTGACTTCTCTTCCCTCCCCTCAACCTCCACCTGTCCCAATATCTTCAGTACTCCAAAATTCATCACTTCAACTGTAGAAAGGTTGCAACTTATGGCCAAGATGGAAATATAGGTAGATACACATCGCCTTCTCACACCAAGAAAAGGACAACAAATTTAAAACAAAAAAAAACCCCGAACTGCCAGAAAATCGGAACAGTATGGAAGCCCGACAACCAAGGAGTTGAAGGAGAAACATTCATCCAGATCAGTAGGAGGGGTGGAGACAGGCAGCCAAGGAGGAGAAGATGTGCAGCAAGGTGGGGGCTGGAGGACTGGATGGTCCCACGTTTATATGCAGATAAACCAGGAGGGACAGCTGGGGAGCGAGACAGACCATGCAATCCAGGGTTCCAGTGTGGGAAAAGAAAACCTCAAAATCTCTGGCTGTAAAGATCTGTTGGGGATGGGGCAGTGGGAGAAACTCCCAGCCTCACAGGAGAGTTCATTGGAGGGACCCACAGAGTCCTAGAACATACACAAATGCCGCCTCCCAGGAATTAGCATTAGAAGGGTTTAATTTGCTTGTGGGTATCAGAAGAAGTGACTGAAAGCTGGCCAAGAGCTGAGCAAGTGTCATTGTTCCCTCTCGGGCCCCTCCCTCACAGACAGTGTCATAACGAAGCAACCTGGATTGCTGCACCCTGGCAAATACCTAAGGCTCCACCTCTTCCAACTAACAGGTGTGCTGAGACAAAGAAATATGGTCCAAATGAAAGAACAGATCAACACTCCAAAAATAGAACTAAGTGATGAACAGATAGCCAACCTATTAGATGCACAGTTCAAAACACTGGTAATCTGCATGCTCACTGAATTGGTTGTGTATGGATGCAAAATGGAGGAAAAAGTGAAGGCTACACAAAGTGGAATAAAGAAAAAATATACAGGGAACCAACAGTAAAGGGAAGGCAACTGGGACTCAAATCAATGATTTGAAGCAGAAGAGAGAGAAACATTCAATCACAACAGAATGAAGAAACAAGAATTCAAAAAAAGTGAGGAGAGGCTTAGGAGTCTCTGGGACAACTTTAAACATTCCATCATTTGAATCATAGGGCTGCCAGAAGGAGGAGAGGAAGAGCAAGAAATTGAAAACTTACTTGAAAAAAATAATGGAGAACTTCCCCAATCTGGCAAGGGAAATAGAATTCCAGGAGAGCCAGGAAGCTCAGAGAGTCCCAAAGAATTGGACCCAAGGAAGCACACACCAAGGGACATCATAATTACATTACCCAAGATTAAAGATAAGGAGAGATTCTTAAAAGCAGTAAGAGAAAAGAAAACAGTTACCTACAAAGGAGTTCCCATAAGACTATCAGCTGATTTCTCCAAAGGAAGCTTGCAGGCAAGAAGGGGCTGGAAGGAAGTATTCAAAGTCATGAAAGGCAAGGACCTACATCCAAGATTACTCTATCCAGCAAAGCTTCCAATTTAGAATGGAAGGGCAGATAAAGTGCTTCCCAGATAAGGTAAAGTTAGAGGGGTTCATCACCACCAAGCCCTTATTATATGAAATGTTAAAGGGACTTATCTAAGAAAAAGATCAAGAGCTATGAACAGTAAAATAACAACAAACTCACAACTATCAACAATTGAAACTAAAAAACAAACTAAGCAAACAACTAGAACAAGAACAGAATCACAGAAATGGAGATCAGAAGGGAGGGGCAGGGGGAGAATGGGGAAAAGGCACAGGGAATAAGCAGCATAAATAGTAGGTACAAAATAGACAGGGGGAGGTTAAGAAGTATAGGAAATGGAAAAGCCAAAGAACTTATATGTACGACCCATGAATGTGAACTAAGGGGGGCGGGGGCAGGAATGCTCGTGGGGGAGAGGTGCAGGTGGAGGGGAATAA